TAATTTTGCACCCAATTATTGATATATTTTTTTTCTTAAAGAATGTGGTTCTCGCCTGTAATCGATTGTAACATTTTACTGTCATCTTATTTAAATGTTTGTTGTTTAATGTAATAATGTATACAATTGTTGGTGGGCCAATAAAGATAAAATAAAGTAAAATAAAATAAAGCTTTCTGTGGTGCTAACAGCACACATTTAACTTGAGCATTTAACCTAATCACTCCCACTTGACTACCAAATAAGAATTCGGTTTTAATACGAAATATACCTACTTAGGCACTTATAAGAACCATGTAGGTGTAATTTACCTACATCTAACCTAAACTTATCAAACATACAGGTGTAGGCTAAATGATCTGAAAAGGCTGACATCTACGCATAGGAATTCGGCTATAAATTACAAGATATAATTAAGTTGGTAGAATCTTAGCAATTTTATAGGAATAATGCATTTATATGTACCAATGTGTTGTAGGTAGATACTTCAATTGTAATCGTAATAAAATAGGCAGTAGGTAATCATAACGTTTAGGTTGCCCTAGAGTGTAAAGGCGTCTAAGAAATGGTGATTCTCGGAGCTAGAAATTGAGTAACACGTCTGTTGCACAATTTCTCATCGCTTCGCGGAGACAAGAGGTTTATTGTTTGTGGAATGCTATTTTATGATTAGATTTATCAAGGTTTCATTACAAAAACACATCTTACAAATACACAGTAAACAATGAAAAGGCAACGGTGATGACCTGTCCTAGAAATGCTGCGTGAGCCTTGTAAGACCGTACCTAACTACGAAGCGTGATCGATAACGACGTAACGTGCCTATGTTGTATTATAGGTAACCAAATAAATATTGTCCCGGGAATGCACTTAGTCTCGTTGAATAATAGTTTATAGTTTCATAATATAAGGTAGGTACTACATACTGTAACCGAAGGCAGAGAAAGAATAAATCAGCAACTAATTAGTTGAAACACTACTGAGGATTTCGAATGTCTCAATCGTTTAATTAGTAGGTTGGTATTCTACGTACCTATTGCCGGAATACTGAAACGTTACTCAATTTTAAGTCGTGCTTAAATATCGTGTCATCTCTGTCATTTCACAAAGAATTTGTAGAGACAGAACTATACTTAAGCGCGACTTAAAATTGAGTAACGTTTGAGTATTCCGCTAAATACCTTATAACCCAAATGTAGGAAGGGTATTATTTTTTATACATATTATCTAAATTTTAATTTATAAAAATAATACCCTGCAGCTGCTTGTCACTGTGTGGTTGGCTAGATTTTCAAGAGGTTTATAGGTACATACTAGTTAATGTTATTTTGTTATTTATAATAGGTACCTACACAATAAGCACTTACCTACATTACATAATTAATTGATTTAGTTTGATTTTATTAAAAATCATTTTAATAAATCAACACAAGCAATTTATATAACAGGTACACACATAATTGTATTTACAAACGATAACAGCTATAATTTGGAGGTACCTACATAAGAATAGCAACACGCATATACGAGTATAAAAATGTAAAAAAAAGTAGGTAGGTACTTACGGGCTCGATTAATAGCAATTGTCAAAAAAAATTAATAAACATAAAAACCGACGAGCATGTATAAAAAGGCTGATGAGGTTAATGGACCGAAAGATGTATGTAAAAATCGTAGCAATTGGCGTTCCATAGTGTCTGCCTGTCCCCATGGGAGACAGGCGTGAGGTACCACCAAACCAAAAAATAGAATACTAAATTATACCATAAACAAATCACGAAAGGATCTGGAAAGGACGAATGGGAAGGGAAGGGAAGAAAATTCGAAATTCAAGAACCAAGGCAGTACGGGCGGTTAGAATGTCGCGGAGAACCCAACGGGTAACCGGAGCTCCGGCTCGACGTGCAGGAGAAGGAACGGGGTGGTTTTTAGTCAGTAAGAGTCTGACACTCCCTCCCGCCTCACCCAGGCGGAGCAGTCAGCAGTCATTCGATGATTTTCCCCCACAGAATGGTGTTTGACCGTTTAAAAAAAAGGGCGGCTAGAATAAAAG